ATTAGAAATATTCTGTAAATTTGTGAGTTATTTTATATTTCTATATGTGAGTATCTTAATTTATATTTATTCAATATTTATTAATAATAGAATATTTAATTTAATTTGTCTTTCCATAATTATTTCCATATGGAAATTATGTAACTATCTATTAAATAAATAAAATGCTTCATGTAAATGTTTAACTATGTTTCTCTAGGCAATCATAATTGATTAACATATTAGGAAATATGTAACTGATATAAAATTAATATGAACAGAATATAATAGTTTATCATTAAGGTGAATTTTCTTACAAAAACAAGAACTATACAGCAATTGTTTTGCTGAAGTATTTTACTTCTCTACATGCAATTTACAAAATGCATTAGACTATCTTAGTCAATCAACACAATGGCATCTGAACAATAATTTTTTAAAAAACTCCCTTAACATTTACAATTACAAACATTTTAAAATTACATTTGATACAATCTTACTACAACATAATTTATCAACATGGTTCAAGAAAAAGGGTTAAAAACACTTTATCAGTTAGTTACTTTTAATAATTTATTCAATTATGATTATGTGTAAAACACACAATTCCAATCAGGAATGTTTTCTGATTTTGGTTTATCGGATAATTTTTTACACAAAAAATTTACAAGTAGTTTATGGCCAGTCTTATATGTATTTTTCACTATCAAACATAAATAGTCTATATGATAAATGCAAATGTATATTTTGTGTTTTATATGTAACATTAGACACTGATTCATATATTCAATCAATAAAATGAAATGTTTGAAAATCAAATGATTTCATTAATTTCCATTTGTAATAGCATCAGCTAATGTTAAAACAATGAAATTTATTACAATAAGAAAATATTATTCATTTGAGTAAAAAATTTCATTTAATTAAAATATCCATAAATATAATGAAAAATAAGCATTTCAAAATTTTCGTATATGTTTAATCATTAGCATTTTATGAATAACTTATGAAAAAATACCCTATTATTTTATGTTAATAATGAAGTCAATATAAAGTTGACATACTACAAGTATTCTTACAAAGCTCATGGAATAGTTCATGTACTATTTCTCCATTTCTCTCTATAGCTTACATTTTCACTACTATATCCTCTCCTATTGTAATACTAGTGTTATGATTGTGTTAAAAATTTATTTTATTATTATGGTATATAAATATACTTCAGTTTCAAATTTTAGCTATGATATTAAAGACTGCACAATTAATTGTTACAATAAATTACAAACTATATCAAAAATAAACATTATATATCTAACAATAAAAGTTATATCAATTCTTAAATTTATAGATTAAATAAAATCATTAAGCTATACATATGAAATATTTATTTTACATTTATTAGTTATTTTTTATGTCATTTTTTATGATGATGTGAGAATTCAAATGCCCACATTTTTGTTTGATCCATTTTACAAAATTTAATATTTTTAAATTAATATTTTTTAAAATTTTGGAAGAAAAATTTTGTTTAAACTAAAAAGGAAACCGCTGTAACACACTTCCTCACCAACGGAAGTTGAATATCCTTTCTCTTTACACCTTATCTCAAAAACTTTAGTCACCATACTAAAGTTCAACCCTTCTGAACATCCCCACTCATCCTGTTGATGTGTTAAAAATCCTACATACTAATTGGAGGAGATCTTTTGAAAATAGCAGTTCATTCCCTATGATCGAGGAGTTCATAAAAGGTCTTCATAGAGCTAAGATCCTATTCAAACGAGTCTCCAAAGGCTAACGCCCATAATCATAGAAGAGTCCGTCACCATTTTCTCCAAAGATGAAGCAGTATTTCCCATGAGCCATTTAATTTCTTAAGATAAAGATGTAATATAGAGGCGACTTTATCTTCTGAGTATCCTACCCAGAAGATAAAGTCGCCGAACATAATACAAACTTTTCTCGACGCTTCCAACGGAACAACATCATTAAATACAAGATATCTACAAATCTGTTAAGATAGTATAATATTAGAAACCATGTAATCTCTCTCTCTCACTAGTTAGGAAGCTTTCGTATATTGTAATCTTGGTTTATTTTAATTTTGTTTCATTAAATAATTTTTGTTATGTTTAAATATGATCTCATTAATGACTAAAATCCACGCCTTTGTCCACTCCACTTACTCGCGACCCTGTCACTCAAAATTCCATGCGAATGCATGATAGTCCACGAATTTGACTATCTGGTGTCAGGAAAAAGCAACTTACAGGGAATCATTGATGACCCCTGTTTCCTTAAAGTATTAGGAAGTCATCTGTTGACAAAGTGAACAAATCTTACGATTTTGTGCCATGTAAGTGACATAGGGTTAGAATTAACCAACTCTATGCCGATGGCTTCTCACAATGATATTTGAAAATCTTTGGAATCTTGAAAAGCATATATCTGAGCTTTTAGGTTTTTAAAAATTGTTCTTTCCAAGTATTTTTGTATTCATCCTTTTAAAAATTGTTTTATGTTCTTTACACCAAAGACAGATAGAAATATTTGAATATGTTATTTTTTTTTTTATTGTTTTAAAACATCTAGTAAAGCAAAATATTCTGTTTTTCTGAATTTAGATCTAATATACAGGCAACCCCCATTTAAATCAGTTCCTGCCAGAAAACTTTTAAGTAGGAGTCTATCTCCTATCACTTTAAACAAAAAAATTATCAGATAACCAAAACGTTTTGGCAATTTTTTTATATTTTTAATATTATAAAAAATCACACAAACACTTTTGGCTACCTGATTTAATACATTACATGTCATATCAAAATGACTGAGTAATTCTCAAAAATATGATACAACACCTTTATATATGTTAAAAACTATGAAATTAGTATATAATGCATTGCTTTCTAATTGTCAAACAGTATACAGTAGTTAACAAATAGTTGCTTAGTATACAGTAACATGCACAATTTGCATGCCATACTGCAAACATTGTTTACAATATAGTATGGCAAATAATACACAACAATAATAAGATTTGTTTTTAAAAATGAAGAAAAAATATACAAATATACAATGACACGTTCTTAACAGAGTCTTCAACACTTATGTAATTGAAGAATGATTTGTTACTGTTAGTGATGACACAAAAACATATTTAGACATTCTGCAATAGGATGTATTATGATATGATATGATGCTAAATGCTGTACTATGTGCCAACTACAAGTACAGTGGGTGATCAGTTAACAAACAGTTTGGTTAATGAACAAATCAGATAACGAACACTTTTGCGAAAGATTTTTATGTTCAGACAACGAACACCTCAGAGAACAAACACAATAAGAAACAACATAAAATAATGAATAATGATTGGTCTTCCATTGTCTTCAGACAACAATTCAAAACTTTTTGAGCGCAGGAGACGTCGACATCGACGCTCAACCCGGTATATACTGATCGGATAGCATTCCTCCAAACTTTGAAACTCTCCTTTGTAATTTCAGCCTTTTATTTTTCTGACAGAAAAACTTTTTACAGTATTCGTGAGATTGTCAGGCAGGCACTCGTTAAGTTTTGCATCGGTTTTAATTTTCAAAAGATGAAAGTACAATAGCATAGGTAGAGAGTGGGTAGATGTCTGATGTCTATTGTTGCTGGGCAGTATAGCTTGAACAGGTCTACAGTAGGCCACAGTTCAATCTTATCTAAGAAAGATACTGTACTATCAAGAAGACTCAAGTAGCTTAAGGAGTAACAAAAATCACATCTGAGAAATAAAGAACATTGAAGAGTTCATAATGGAATCTGAAACTGATCTGAAGACAAAAGAACGCCAAGAACTCTTGAATGAATAACACCAAGAAACTTAGTGAGAGATGTTTTTTCTGAAAAAGAGAATTAATGTCAATACCTGCTATTAAACATTTTTTTGAAGATGTGGAATGATGTCAGAACAATGGTCTTAAAATGGCATCCAAACCAGGGTGAGGTTAATAGGTTTAGGATCTCTACAATTACATTGCTATTAATTACTTCTGAAAAATCTTGAAGAAGAGAGAAAAGCAATTGACATTAGACAGATTCTTTAACCCCACAAACAGAAAAATCATGACTAATAAAAATGGAAGACTGTGTGTATATATATACATATATATATGTATGTATTTTTATTATTACATATAAATGAATGTAGTAAGAAAGTATATAATTTTTTATTTTTTGGGGTCTCCAGAACAAATTAATCAAATTCCCATAAACTCTTAAGGTAAATCGATAGTTAACAAACAAAGTCTTGGAACGGATTGTTTGTTTACTGATCACCCACTGTATATTCAAAATGCATATTCTATTTCTTAACACACAGAACACTTTTCTAAATGTCTACATATGATTATAATGTTCTAATCATTTTGGATTTGGAATATAACTGGAGAGTTTTCTTCATAATGTTTTGTTAAAGATGTTGTATTAAATTTTTGGGACATAAATATAAATTTTTCTTATATAAAATTGACTAAAAATGTATTGAGAGAGAAAAACATTCTATAAAGTATTAAAAATTAAAAGTTGTTTTATTGGAAAAATGTAAAATGAGACACATTTAAATTTTTTTATTAAGATTATTATTTTTTAATTTGATTTTTTTATTGAGAAAATGTAAAATGAGATGTTAAGAGAGGTTGCTTGTATTGATCAATAAACAATGAAACTTTAATGAAGTCATGATGTAATTCAAATATTAAATTTTATTAATGTATAAATTTTATTAAACTTAAAAATTTGTAGATTATACAGAAATAATGACTTATTGAAGATTACTAATGAAAAATAATCAGTTTAATATTTATTATTATTATTTTTTTATGTTGTTTTAGCAAAAATGAGAAGAAAGACCAATAAAAAATGAATTCTAGTTTATAAAATATTATTTAAATATGAAAATAAATTTTAAAAACACTAATTATTATTCAATATTATAATCATAAAACGATATGTTATAATTATAGCTAATTACTTACCAAATCAGTTCCCAAATCAATGCATAAAATTGTAACAGTACCTAAAGGTAAAGGGACATCAGCTAAAATAAAAAGTAAAAATGGAGTGATCTCTGGAATATTGCTTGTAAGTGTATAAGCTATAGATTTCTTCAAATTGTCAAATATAAGCCTTCCTAAAAGTGTAAAATTGTAAATTTTAATGTAAAATTTATACAAACAACTTTTAAATTTAATTATATTTACATTTATATTATATTATAATTACAAACATTTATATTATAAAATTAAGAATTTTGAATGCAGATTATAATGCAAATAAAAAACTTTCAATTATACAACTATAAAATTTTTTTATCAATAATTGATTGATCAAAATGATTTCATTCTCAAACTCTAAATATATATTAAAATTTCTTCAAAAATTCACATAGTTATTATTCTTTTAAACATTTTCAATCCTTTATTTATAAAAATGCTTTTAGCTTCTGTTCAGCCATCTTCAGTTTTTTACATTTCAAAAACAAAGAATGCTATCTTTTACAAATGATACATAACACAGAACTTTCAAATAAACAATTTTAAATATTTAAAAAAAAGTATCATAAAAGAGCCAAAAGGAGAAAATTTTAAATATTTTAAATCATTATAGGAATTTGACAGTTATACTCAAATTTATCATATTATTTGAAAAGTCATTACATCAATCTAAATTAGCTGATTTTATAGCCTACAGAATGTTAAATGCTACTAAACCCTCAGACTATTTCCTTAAATTAACTGTGATTCTACAACTAATAGATATTAAAGCATAGTAAAACCTAAACATAGTAAAACCTAAACAACTCTGTTATCTATTAAACTATTTATATTCCAGAGCAAATATATATGTATTTGCTCTAGAAGTCATATAAATTGGCTGGTTTGTCCCAGCAAATTTTGACTTCCTTTTACCAAACTCACATCATTAGTGAAGTAACTACACTCTATAATGACCTTTAGCGATTATATTCTTTAATCCTAACAGCAATTGATCTTGATGTTGAACCTATGTAAAATGTGAGGCCTGGACCTCACCCTTTGATAGGAGACCAGCTGTTGAACCAAAGTCAATAAACCGGTGACATACTTTCACAAACAGAACTGGGCCATGAAGAAATGGGGTGTGATATGATTTAATTGTTGCATTCCAAAATCTAATTGACACATCCCCGATCACAGACTTTGAGGATTTTTCCCTGACTGGAGATTGACAGCCAGGGAAATTTTGGTGGTCACCTTACACAGAGTTTAAAGTGGAAAATGTGAGTGCGCCTTAAGAGGGGTGGTGGCTGGGACCATATGAACCCAGCTACATCTTCTACAAGACAAGAGAAAAACACATTGAAAGAAATTTATGGGACAGTTGCTTGGGAAAGAACTTGACCAAACCCTGGGGGGAGTTGTCTGGGTGGGGGTGTTCGACAACCTCACAATCCGAATAGCATCCCAGGCAACAGATCTTGACCAATAGAGTTACAGGAGACCACTGTTTCGGACAAACCAAAAAGTGGGATTTTGTGCAAAGATGGTATAAAAGTCCAAAGTCCCAAGGACATGGAGAGGTTTGAAGCCAAATAGTCATTCCTTTAGACCCAGACCACCTAAGAAGTATCAGAGACAAAAGATAATATCTGAAATGCTAAACGAGTACGGAAAAGGTATGAAGGACTCGACTTCCCAAAGCAGACTTCTCTATGCAGACGAGTATGAAAAATGACTAGAGACTCAACTTCCCAATGTGAACTTTTCTACCCCTCAAACCTCCAAAACCATCAGCAACCAATGGAGATAAACTTTCTCCTGTTTGTGTGAACCATCTTTCACTTTGTGTAGCATCTTTTGACTAGATGGCATAGTACCTCCTCTTCAAGCATGTTTTGTCTTATTAAACACAATTAATTTTGTCACATCAGTATCTGTCTGAGTCTCTGTGTTCAGCACTGTTACCTACATACATACAAACCATTCTCACATCATCCTGACCAAGTCTCAGGAAACGCAAGTGTCTCTGCCTCTCATAAAGGCAGACCATACATCAGCTATGACACCTTACAAAAAGTAGTCTTCATTAAGCTTAGATAAACTTATTGCATATATGTCTGATTTTGAAAGCTTATCTAACTTATTCTTGTCAGTCCTTAACAGGTTCATAATCAAGGAATCTTTTAACATCTAAAAAATTTTCTGATTTTTTGTGATGCTGCTAATGCTACCTCTTTACCTTTAACTATCATACCTCTTTCTTGTTTCATGTAGGTTAAGATAAACAGAGCATTTTCTAATAAAGCATTTTATAAAAGTATTTCTAAAAGAATTGAAGTGTTGTTTTTATTACAAAGTTTACTCTAATTTCAGCACTAGAGTAAAATCCTGACTTCCCTAAACCTGTTACCATCGCATAACGTGTATAAGATATGTTTGTCATCTGCTGTATATATCTTATACGTGTTGTTTTTATTTTATAACATATCATATTTCTTATTTTATAATTAGTTTATACGAAAGAACAGAATAAGTTTTTTCTAAAGTTTTGAATTATCTTTAAAAATCTTACCTTCTTCTACTCCAGTGACAATTGATGCAAAATTATCATCTAATAAAATCATATCTGCTGCTTGTTTACTAACATCACTTCCTGCAATTCCCATGGCTACTCCTGAAAATTTTTTAAAGATATATTAAATACATATTTCTAAAATTAAGCAGTCAATAATAAAATCTGTAATAGATCAAGAATAAATAAATGTGAAAATAACAGTAATAGGATCTAACAGTCTCACAGTGAATTAAGAATAATTCACTTTGAAACCTGTTTTTGATGATGTTATCAATATTTATATATTTTAATTAAGATGTATTTTTACCTATATCAGCTTTTTTTAAGGCAGGAGAATCATTAACACCATCTCCAGTAACAGCTACAATAGCACCTAATCTTTGACATCCTTCTACTATTATCAATTTCTGTTGAGGAGAAGTTCGTGCAAATACAATTTCCGTGTGATTACTCAGCACATCTTCTAATTGTTCCATTGTCATTTCTCTTAATTCAGAGCCATGAATTACTGCTGCTTTAGCATCTCTGAAATGCATTGATAACTGATTATTTTAAATAATCTTATTTAATATGTATATTGATGTCAATAGCTCTATTATTAATAGTCATTCAATTAAATACAAAAATCAAATTTTTCGAACAGCATGGCTCATAGCAGTTTATCATTGTAAACTTTCATGTTATTATCAAAAATTTTCAGTGCCCTGATATTGGTAGATTTAAAGCTTTTTTTATACTTATGGCAAAATTAAGTTCATAACATAGCAATAATATAAAATTCCTTATACAGTTGACAACAAAAGTAAATTACTACCTCTTGCCAATCAGCAAGATGATAAAAACGTATTGAGGTTGGATGTCACGCCAACTTTTATTTTAATTAAAGCTTCTTCAAAAACTTCAGACACTAAGGCGTTAAACACAATTAATATATTTTATTCTCTTAATTCAGAGCCATGAATTACTGCTGCATTTGTGGATACTTTGTTGCCAAGCGACAACAAAGTATCCACAAATGGAGCTGTCAATCATCTCGACACTAGCATCTGTAAGACAAAATCCAGCTCGGACAATACAAAGTCCCAAAGACCACTCTGTGAGACGGTACTTATCAACTTCCAACATGAGACTTCTGATATCAGACAAGGACAAGAAGTTCGTTCTATGCAGGGAGGAAGACTTTCTACGCAGGGCCACAGATTTTCTCAACCAGTCACAAGCTGTCATCTTACCGGAAGACCCAACAACAGCCGTATTAAGAAAAACAAGGAAAATAATTACTCTCCCAGGGGTCACTTCGGTTCTTTCGGGACGCTTGGACCCCCCATCCAACGTCGCGTGTCCCAGACTTTTCTTTGAAGCAAAAACACACAAGGAGAGCTGGCCATTAAGGCCTTTAGTCAATAAGCGATCCCACCCTACATACTTCCTTGAAAAAGCTCTTGCTAGATTGCTAGGTGGGCTACTTCCTTCCTCCTCCCAAGTAGTGTCCTCGTCTGTCACAGCTAAAGAGAGATTATGCGCTACGCTGGCTGGCTTGAATCCGGATACTTACAAATTTTATAAAATGGATGTGGTTGCGTTGTACCCGTCGGTACCGCACTTCGAAGCGGTGATGCTAGCCAATACCTTACTTATCAAAGAGGGCTTTACCGCACAGCAAGTTTTGGAGGTCCGTGAAGCATTACTCTTTATTACGGAGCACAATTACTTCTGCTTTAATGGAAAGATTTACCTGCAAAAGCGAGGGGTGTCAATGGGCTCGCCACTGTCAGCTGTACTGGCAGAACTCATCATGCGGCGAGTAGAACACAGTGTTTTTAAATTCCCTCGCTCCATAGCTTACCCCTTAATATATTTAAGATACGTAGACGACATTCTTTTGGCGTGGCAGGATACAGAAGACTCCTTCCGAGTATTCGAACACCACTTAACAAAAGTGTATGCCACTATACACTTCACGTGGGAGAAGGAAGTTGGAAGAAAAATCACTTTCTTGGACTTACACATACAAAAATCCCAGGAAGGCTTGAAGTTTTCCGTCTATCACAAATTTGGCAATATCCCACCCATAATACCGGCCACAGCCTGTCAACCGCAACAATATGTTAATGCGGCCATAGCCCCCTTGATCAGACGGGCTTTCGTACTACCATCGACGCAACATCTTATCAATGCCGAACTAGAAACTGTCCGCACAGCGGTGTACGCAGCGGGATATACTGCCTCCAAATACATCCATGTTAAAAATAAGGTCATACAGTCTCTCTTCCCTGCCACCACATTGCGCAGACCAAGAGATTGGACAACGCTCCGTCCCTCACTCCCATACTGTGGACACTTCACGTCCCGGATCTGCCGGATCTTCAGGCGGAATGGCTTTCGTTTACCTATTGCTCCACGACCATGTCTGCGACGAATCTTATGTAATGATAGGGATACTATTTCCACCCTGGAAAAATCTGGTGTATACTCCGTTCCCTTGCAGAATCCAATATCAGGAATATGCACCAATTATATAGGAGCGACCACCAGAATGCTTGCTACCCGTATATCTGAACACCAACGTTCGGTGGCACTTGGCAATTGCGACACGGAACTTTCCAAATTGGTGATACAACAACATCACATAGCGCTTTGGAATCGGGTGGAAATACTCAAACGCTGTGATGAAGGGAGCTTAATATATATTTGGGAGGCCATCCTCACAAAACTGCTCTCCCCGTGCAACTCCCCCACCCTTGAATTGCCGGATATCTGGATTAATATATACAGGCAGTTAAAAAATCAATAATAATTTTGCATTCCTTTCCCCCATCTTCTACATGACTCAAAGCGCATACGTGTCGGCCTCGTTATGTCCCATGTTTTAGTCTTTAACATTTAAATATTAATGCAAACTAGCACTTACGGATCTATTCTGCTCAATTTCTCAGTCTATGTTAAGGCGCATGCGTGCCAAAAAATTTTATACGTATTTACAAAAGTATTTGTTTTTAACTTTTAATTTTATACGTATTTACAAAGGTTTTGTCTTTAATTTTTAGTTTTAATTTAAAATGTAAAATTTATTTATACTTAATCGCCATCCTAATTGGATATTATGTAATACATGTTAAGGTGCATGCGCGCCAGTGTTTTGCGCGTTTATAAAATAATTAATAGCCATTCTTATCGAAATTTAAAACGCATGCGTGCCAATTTTAAATATTTTTAAATGTTTTAATTCTAAAATTTAATTCTTATTTATAATTAAAAAACGGCTAATATCGTTAATGTTCAAATTCAAATGTATGATTCGAATTCTCTATTCGTTTGATTTGCCTGAGGACGACGTGCATATTTACGTCGAAAGCGCTCGCAAGAATAAAATATATTAATTGTGTTTAACGCCTTAGTGTCTGAAGTTTTTGAAGAAGCTTTAATTAAAACAGCAAGATGATGTTATCATGGAGTCAAATTAGACATAGTGCATAACCCATAGTATATCAATAAAATATCAACATATTTAGAAATATGCTTTGAGTAACTTTAGGCCTAATCCACATATATTTCATGGTCTGGTCAAATATTTATCAATTGTGTTCAATGTATGTACTTACACTATGAGTGATACTAGTCTCAGTCTGATACTTTGAACACACTTGATAAATATTTAGCATGACTGTAAACAGCTTGGTAGTGTGGATCAAACCTTAATGTAAAGAGTCAACAGTGAAACAGTTAACCATCTGTAGGACAAAGATAACAGAATATCATCTGTTGGACAATCAACAGAAAGTACTGTACATGTACCTGACTGTAACCAGAAATGTATTAATTGAACAAATTGATGGATAGAAGATGTTAATTTCTATAAAATATCATGTAAATATACATATTAATGTGCATGTTCATCCATAACAGCACATCTCATCAAAAATACATAGTATATAACTTCTGTAAGCCAAAACTTATTTTTTTAACATATGTTCACTGAGTGTTCAAAATGTCCACTGCTTATTGAGCACTCAGTTTCCAATAAAACTCATTTTTAAATGAAACCTTTAATGAAATTAGATGCCTAAGAAAATTCCTATGCATTACACAAATAAAATTTTGCACACTCACTGCATCAATTAACCAATTATTTTGAATGAGAAAATGTAAAATAACATGGAGCAAAATGCTATAAAATTCTTTGTTTTCCAAATCTATGAAAATTCCACATTTTTCAGGTTTTCCACAATTGCTAAAAACCTTAAAATATTTTATAAAATGATAAATCTTTATTTTACTAAAGACCTGGAAATAAATATTATTAGAATCATCATTAATATACAATGTATACTGTATTTGAAAATTGCTAGAATGAAAATTAAATTTCTCCATAACGTAACTCACCTCATTGTATTTGATAAGTTCATATTTGTAATATTCAATTGTAACATACAAATAGTTTGACCTATTGCATAATCTGCAAATCCCTTTCAAACATTGGTAATCAGCACAAAAATATGGTAAATAAAATATTACAGAAATAAAAAATATTTAATAGACAAAATATTTAGTACAAAGAGAATCAAAATTAAAACTAATAATTACCACCTATTAGAATAATTCAGTGACATTATCTTAATTTTAAACAGAATAATTATTAATCAATACTATCTATTTAAGTAAAAAAATAACCATTCAGCAATTTTTTGAAACAGAAAGAAGTTAAATAAAACTTGATTACGACAATTTACCATTACTGACTACTATCATATTGCCACAATTCTACGATGAATCAATAGTATCAGCAATCAGTATTTGTTGCAAATAGAGCAAACGATGCCTTATGCACTAATAATGAAGTTATAAATATTCATTCATTTTTTACATTTACCTTTTCTTTAATTTTTTCCCTCAATTACTCTTAAAAAAGTGTTCCAAAAAGGAATTATATTACATTAAAAATAAATAATTAATGTGAAAGAAAAATAGCATAAATTTTATTGGAAAATGTCTAACTTTTGTTTCATTTGTTTTCAAGAAATCATTTAAAGTAATAAATTTTATTTTTTTTACCAATATAAATGCATTCAATACACTTCCATTTTTTTTAATGATGCAAATAATATATGAAGTGCTTATGCTCCAAAAATGATATATGATGGTAAAGATGCTTTATGCACAGCAGCACACTAAAGATAAAGTAATATTGTGAGACTCCAGAAAAGTCCCAAAACCATACTAAATTTGTTAATATTTAAAATATATTTTTTTCTATAAAACGAAAAATAATAATAATGAAAAAACCCCTTTTCTCAGAAACATGATGAAGGAAAACTAGACAATGTAAGTTCCAAGATCAACTATCTCCAGTTGAGATCAAATTAAATGTCTATTTTGACTCATCCCATGATCTAAGTTGAGATCTCATTACACTTAGAAACAAGTGAACTACCACTTAAAAAATTAAAATGATGAAGTGTCCAATTTGAATGGGTGATCAAGAACAGAAAATAATAAAAACATTGAATTTCAAAGACGAGAAAGAGTTTTTCTCTCCAATTTCTCTCAGTGCATGACTGCATCTTCAACTTCACCCTCAGTTCTCTCTTTCTGGATTGACATTACCTCCTCTCCAAACCATTGACAACATTGCCCTGAGGCTGCCAAAACAACAGAAGGATCCTTATCTTTTGAACAGATCTTCTTCTCTCAGGACTCACTTCCAAGAAAAAATAGAAAACTCAACAGACTAGCTTGTTGCTTGTAGAGAACACCAAGAGCAATAGTTTCTGTAAGCCTTTTTAGTATTAATTAATCAAGATGACTTTTTTAACTGTGAAATCTGTCTGTGTCTGTCACACCCACATACAAAAGTCCACCTCTTGTCCATCCTGACTTGAGTGCACAATACAGCAACATCATAATATAAAAATGTAATCCAACTAAGTGCTATTGTACTGTGCCTTACGTCTGTTCTTGCCCCCTTCACCACGTGGTGGGTCTAACTCGGTGGAGAGGAGTTATGTAATTCAGGGGTGTGTGACCGAGGGGTGAGTGTTTTATGGACGGGGTGTGTCTCAGGGAGAGGGGTGAAGGGAAGTGGAGAGTGGAGAAAACAGGAGATGAGTAAGGACAGGGAGTGAAGTGCGGGAATGAAGATATAGAGCCTGTGCAAGCAAGTCCGTAGAGATTTTTAGAACTTTAGAACTTTTTCCTACCCGGAGTGGAAGAGAAGAAAAGATCATCGAAGCCCCATTTATGTCGGTATGTTTCCATGTATTCTTGTTACGTCAGCTTGAGCAATTTATTGTCGGGAGATTTTTTGTTATCGATTCGCGATATACTAGATTGTCGGACTCTGTATTCTTGTGTCTCATCTTTATCTTGGGAGTACTGTATCCTCCCAAGTATATTAAAGAAATATTGTTATAGAATTCAATGGTTGTCTTGTCTAGTCCCTATTGAGTCCAGTGGATTCCCCCTTAACAAGCGTTTGTTCCACTAAGCACACTTGTTATAAATTTATCCCCTGGTTGAGCACTTATATTTTATCGTGTTGATTCATTCACACGATATTTTGTACCCCCACAGTACTTTACTATGGTGGTATGTCATTACTGGAGAATAATAGCTAAGATGAAAGATACAAATGAATCATCAGTGGTATTTAATGTTGAAAATGCATTAATGTTAGCTAAATCATATAATTTTTGAAAATGTAAGAACAAAGATTTCAAAGGTTGAAGATGAATTAAAGAATTCTATTGAAAAATAAACAGAAAAAAAGAGAATTTTTATAGAGACTGTGGAAATGAAAGATACTAGATAACAGGTTGAATTTTTACCAACAGTATAAATGCATAATTCTTAAAAAACATACTTAATTTATTTATATATTTCCTACCTTGGATTAACATCGTCTATTGGAATATTTAATCTTTGAGCAATGTCTTCTACAGTTTCATTTCCTTCAGAAATAATTCCAACTGCTTTAGCAATTGCTTTGGCAGTAATTGGATGATCTCCAGTAACCATAATAACCTAGATATGTCAGATTATAATTTAGATTCCATGTTAAAAAATTTAATGTTTATGTAACATTTTTTCTTTAATACATTAATATACAGTGGGTGATTGGTTAATTAATGAACAGTTCAGACAATGAAAACTTTTGCAAGAGATTTTTATGTTTGGACAATGAACACAACACATATTCAGATAATGAACACCTGACAGAACAAACATAAGAAGTGATGATGCAATTAAGATTTGTAAAACTATATTTTACTGGCATCTATGAATAGTTTATGAAACGAGACTTTCACAACTGTATACATAATCTTTTTTGCACTGGTTGATTTCTGTTCTCCGAAATTTTGTGTTTTTCTGAACTTTTTATTTATAAAAAAACTGATAATATTATGGGACCTAAAAAGAGTGGATTGTCAAGAACTGTATTCACTATAGAAACTTAGCAAAAGATAACAGCAAAGGTAGAGTGGGTAGAATAAGTCTGATGTTGCTAGGCAGTATGACTTCACCAGGTCTACAGTAGGCACAATCTTAGCTAAGAAAGATATAATCAAAAATGCTCAAACAGATAAAGTGATGAAAATCACATCTAAGAAACAAAGATGTGAAAAAATGGAGAGATTGCTTTTAGTTTGTTATTACATGTAAATAAATATATTAAAAAATTATGGATTTATTTATTTATTTTTTGGGGGCACCACAACAAATTAATCAAATTCCCATAAAAATCTATGTTAAATCAATAATTGGTTAACGAACAATTCAAATAGCAAACAGTCTTGGAATGGATTATGTTCGTTAACCAATCATCCACTGTATAATACTGTTTCAGAAAAATCTCTCTAGATTTTGTACTTTACAATATAAAATTATATATAAATTTTACTTTTCTTATCTATGAAAAACATTAAAATCTAATATAAAACATTAATAATCATAAATTATTTTCTATGAATAATTAAATCACCAATTTAAATAAAAAAGTTATTTTTGTAATTTTTCATACACACACAATCTTTTCAATGAATAAATTTTTGAAAGTTTTCTATTACTAAAATATATGGTCAGAAACATATATTATAGAACTTTTTATTTCATGTTCTAAATCTTTGTTTCTAAAATATAGTTTTGAAATTTACTTTGTATTTAATGTGAAATAATAAGGATAACTTATTTCACTTTTTACATAAAACTGAACAGAGCTTTTCTTAGAGTGAATATGTTAAATTAATTTACTTACATAAAATTAAATTGTTTGAACAATAATAATTAAAATTTATTAAGTTTTTAAAAGCATATAAATTTCACATATTTTATTTTCTTTACATTTTAACAGTAAATTTCTTGAATCAATGATAACTGTACAACTTCCTTATAGACAAATAATAAAATTTAATATTTCTATTTATCTATATTTATTTATTTTAGTTACAATAGGAAAAGTCTGATTGAGACTAAAGATTTTCACCCCATGTAATAATAAAACCCATAACAATATAAAAAAAAAATATGAGCTAAAAGGATAAGGAAATCCTGATAATTTAATTGCACACAAAAAGCATTTTAAAATTAACAGGGTGTTAATTAATTTACTTTAGTTACAATAGGAAAAGTCTGATTGAGACATAAGATTTCCACCCTGCATAACAATAAAACCTGTGACAATAAAATAAATAACAAATAAATAAATGAGCTAAAAACATGTATGGAAAAAAACATTAGGATACATTAGAACACATTAAAACAAATGTGAAAATAAAAATTAAAAAAGAAAAAAAATTAAGTTATGAAGAATACATTTATGAATATTTTTAAAACAAGTAAAATTTTTGTAAATATGTTTTTGAGGTTGCTTTCATAAAGTATGTTTACAGAAATTTTCTGGTGTAGACATATCTATAATTATATGTTCAATAACTAATAATTTTCTATTAAAATTTAAATTAATAACTTTAGAAAAAAAACAGAAAGCTTATCAGTGCAAATTTGAAATTCGGTCATCATGTGAGACATTATGACATACATATATAAATGTAAACAATAACAAAGTCCAGTATATTATTACAGTCAAACATTAACTGTCAATTTCTTAAGCCATAATTAAGTTAAAGATTGTATTCCAAGAGTCCAGCAGTTAATATGGCATATAAATATACAGTTGGATTTTTTCCAGACATTTAGAAGAGCATATCATTATAGTTTTCTATCAGTATGATAATGAGCATAATTAAACATAATGATTATAATAGTGTATTACATCTAAAGACTTTATATACTATTATGATTTAATATTTAATTAATATTGTAAAAAAATTGATTATTCCATAATATACCTTAATACCAGCACTACGGCATTTTGCTACTGCATCTGGTACTGCAGCTCGAGGTGGATCAATCATAGATACCAAACCAAGAAATCTAAGATTACTTAGAGGAAAATTCTGTTCATCTGGGTCAAATGGATAACCAGGTGGATATTTGTCTGAGGGCAACTTATAATCACAAAAACCTATAAATACAAATAAATAAAATATTAATTGAAATTCATATTATGAGATACATTTAATCATTATTAATATAAATTACTGAAATTGAGTATAAAAGATATCTAACAATTGTTATATTAAAGAATGTTTTGAGATTTGAAATTACAGTAGAGAGTCATTTATCTGAAAGCCAATCAACCGAAACGTCGGTTAACTGAAAGCATTCCAGTTGGACTGTGCCGTGCTGAATAGAACATTTTTGATACTAAATTAACTTCCAAAATATAATTTTTTTGTTTTAATATTTTCAATATATTTATTTTGTTTGTACAAAATAAAGAAATAATTTTTAACAATACAATAGCTATGATTAAGGCTTAACATCAACGAAAATTCAACACAAAGAGAGATGCAACAGAGAAAAATTTCAACATGGGATACGTTAATATATTTTTTCGTACACAATCGGTTATCCGAAATATCGATTTTTTTCCCCGAACAATCCCAGTCCCCAATTGATTCGGATAAACGATGCTCTACTATTATATTAATTTCCTGCTTATATTTTCAAACATTTTAGAATTTTAAATTATAGGATTTAAATGTATTATCATCAGTTTTCAAAAATAAGAAAAATCAAAAAGAATCAAAATATGATATACTGAATTTTTTCCTTATAATTTTTTTGAACAAACTACTCTTTCCAATTTTTTAATATCTATATTATACAACATTATTATTTTATAATGTATTTTTACATATTTTCATAATTATTTAAATATATTCTTTAACTTAAGCAATACATAACTGTCAGAATTTAAAATTTTTAGCAGTTTATTACTGTCCTGACAGTAATTAATGATGGCTCTTCTTGGTCCTGTGACCATCTGCAAAATTACCTCTCACCTGAGTCAAGAATATAGAAAGGTGTGAGCATGGGTTTCCTTACAAGCCAGCAGGGCATAGAAGAGGAGGTAAAGGAAATGGGAAAAAGATAAGAGAGAATGGGCTACTAAAGCAAAAAAGCAGAAGAAAAGGTAAAAAGAGGAGACACACTTAGTACCAGGACTGACTATAAAGATGTGCTGTCAGCCATGTCCCCAGACTGCTATCACACATCACTGGAACTATCATGTTTTGTTTGTGTAGTTTTTGATCTTGTTTTTGTAAATTTTAAATAAATGTAATTAAAACTTTATATAAATGCAATTTATAAACCTAGGCAGACTAAAATATCAAAAACATATATAATCATTTGTTGAAAATCCAGTTTAATAGAGAACACTCCATTTGCACATACTACAAAGTCAAAAAGAATAGAAAAAACTTTACATGTACTCAATGGTAATATTTTATTATAAACTATAGGTAAGCCCAGCATTGCTCAGGCAAAAAATAAGAACAAACATTAAGAATTTTAGATTGTTTTATAATTCTAAACCTTCTATTATATTACATTATAGTATTTGGTTTATATAACTACAAAAGTTGTCTTATGTAAGGGTTTATCAGTGACCAATTTAACATATTTTTAAAATTCTATATTCCTCTACTGTACACAATTTAAAGAATTTTTAAAATGTGTTAGATTGGTCACTTGATGTGATAAACCCATAAGATAACTTTGTTGTTATATGAATCAAATACTATAATATAAGAAACATTAAAACAAAAACCATATAAAGAGTTTGGTTATTTTATCCTACCACTGACATTTTTACCACGATACTTGGATGGTACAAAATGGCACAATTTCATTGGTCAAGTAGACAAGATTTTTTTCTAATATTAGCTGTAACAAATGGTTTCATTAAAGTTTGTTGTATACTTCAGAAACCATTCTTTGTTGTGCAACATTTAAATACATTTTGCTACTAGAAATGCTTCACAATAGCAGGGCTGAGATTGATTGATCCATATCAACTTTAAATTATGTTTTTGATTCTGAAAATTCTCTCAAATTGACATTGCTAATGGTGATATTTTTTATTTATGTGTTCTTTTGTTTAATTTTAGACATTTTACTATATTTTTGTTATTTTATTTGATTACATTGTGGTGTGACGGGTTAATGAGAACCACATGTATATAAGTAATGCACCATGGACCCCCACGTATTTCAAAGATACAATAATAGTGTGTATTTACTTCCAGTCAACTAAAATTACAGATCTCAAAACCATCCATAATAGTACACTTTACTTTCTTACTGTACAATACAGAGTTCTAACCGTTTACTTTTCCTTGTTAACAATGCTCGTAGGTCTAATCACACGTGAGAGTCCCGAAACAGGCTAGTTCTTAATCCGTTTCAATCTTCTTATATTACTAATTAAAATTAACTTAAATTAAACTAAAACTAATGTTACTTATGTTAGTAAAAGAAAGATAGGAAGATTATATTAGAAGGGAATCCCTTTTCTTTGTCTAGCGAATTAGGCAATTTTCAATGTCTATCCCAGTTAATTGAGAGGATACAACCTGATCACGTGGGCATCTTTCGACAAGATGAAATATCCATATATGAATCCTCCTCTGTATCTCAAGGGCACCAGTTCTTAACAAAAAGTTCTCTAAATCACTGTTGACTGAGCCTTCCTTGGGTTCCTCTCTCATTGTCACCTCCGCATCTTCTCCTCACCCGTCCTTCTATGCTATGATGTAGGTCAAAAAAGAAAAACCCTTTGAGCCCAAAACTCGCCAGAAAATGCACATAGGCTGGAAGAGTTGAACATGAACAGGGAAAATAGTGCGGGTTAATTATGTAGATGAAGAGATCATGGATAACTTAGAAGGTCAATTAATAAAACATATATATACATGGTAAGATACACCACAACATAATTTTGACTAGTTTGTTTCTGTGAAAATTACTGCATCATAAAATATATGTGGTTTGGAAAAATAAGGACCAATGTCAAATGTAATGCATTTGATATTGAACATTATTCTTCCAAGCCACATATGAAGCATGCAATGCCATAATGTTGTAAATGCCATTTTTTTCTAAATATGTTCTATTGAAGAATTGAATTTTATATGCAATGTTTTCTGCCACAAAAGAATATTGTGGTGATATTAGCAGTGTAAATGGTTGTATTTTGAAGATGAATTTATGTGAAAATATAACATTTAAAGGGCCAGAGTGCAAGTCACATGACTTTTGGCACGTATAACGTTCCGACTTATATTTTCATCATTTTGATATTCCAGAGAATTTATAACCCAGTAAGTTTTTTTTTACCATTTTATTGTAAAATTGAAATGAATTCATTCATTAGAAAAAATGTTTTTTACCTCTCCTGAAAAGTTTCTTTTTTGGCATTTACAACATTATGGCATTGCACGCTTCGTATATATCAGGTTTTCCAATGTTTATTCCACATTTTTATTAATCAAATTTTTTTATATTTATATTTATTTTGAAAGAAAATACAATTGAAAATTGCAGAAATATAGCACTTAGTTATAAAATAACATTCTAAAGAAAAAATTTTCATTTAGAAATTAAAATTCCATTTATGTATAAATGTTCTTAAAATTTCAAATAATTACAATCTATATGTGAGCCTGACGGTTTGAAGTTTACTGTTAGATGAATTTTTTCGAAGGAAGTGTAAACCTCGGTCGACGAGAAAAAAAACTATCGGACGTTCTCACTGAAATAGATCGGATGTCAACTCTTAACATCAACAAGTTAGAAAGGAAGAAGGGCATGTCATCGTGTGCCTGCAAATTAGTCATCGTAATGAGTGAACAGCCAGTTGGCTCAGTGCCAATAATGATCGTATAAAAATGATTGTCCCTCAGTGCGATTGTCACAGGAAGTTCTAGATACAAGTGTCTCCTGTCCTGGTCCTGTCTGAGAAGAAGCAGATAGAAGACATAGAACTGTTCCAGCTTCCATATTCCAGAATGATCATTGCATACAGTCATCCGACAGCATGTTGAGGTATATTTGAGGCAGAAACTTTTGTAAACTCTCTCTCTCTCTCTCTAGAGGTTAGGCATGTGGCATAGTGACTAGTTTGATCACCTTTATCAATAGATTTATATGTTATCTGCATTTAATCATGTAATTCTTTATGAATGCTCTTGTAAATTAGATTAGTATATAATAAACTCCTTATTTGTTTGTTTAGCCTGTGAACCTGTCTACCATTACTCACCCAGATACACGTCGACTTTCTCAACCCCTCGCCACTCGATAAACAGCCATCCAGTGACGCTGTGAGCGGATCTCGCCAATCCGACGATTAGAGGGCTCTGTCCCCTCGCCCCATGAACTCATAATTTGCCAACAATTGTATACAATTATTGGCAAATATGAACATAAAAAAAGCTTAAATAAGTCAATCCCTTTAGGCTTTTATTAAAAAGAAAATACAAGGATTCAAAAATCCTGAATTTTATTTTTTTTATACTTTTTGTATCATTAGAACATGCACCACTATGCATTCAAGTGGTAAATTTGTATTCTTTATCTTATGTTTTATGCAGTTTGCACTTTAATGTTTCCTAACGTTTAATTTAGCATATTTCTGTTTTACAACAATTTTATAAACTGTTTTTACTTTAAATTTTAGAAGAGTTTACCTTATTTTTAAATTAAAACAAATTACATTTTATTAAATGTAATAACAACAAAACAATCTTAACCAATATATCAGGTAACCAAAATAGTTTGTACAGTTCTTGAGAATAAAATTAAGCAATATGTAAAAAATGAATAAAGACATTTTTCATTCAGGGAAAGAAGCACCAGAACAATGTTTAAACTTTTATCAATGAAATACAAATTTTTAAATATCATTCTGATTAAACTCCCAGTCTTCAGACTGGAAAAAAATTACCAGTTCTGTAACAAGTGCTTCTCAATTTCAAAACTATCTATTGTGTAGTACCCAGAACAAAGAAAAAAGTCTGCTGCATATATGTAAAGACAAATGTTGGCAGTTTTTTGGAACTGAGCAATGATTAGCATGAAGTTGATACAGGAAAATATAAGTTATAGTCCAGACAGACAACAAAATTTTCTGTTGGTGGACCTTATGCTTTGATGTTTATGGTACAGGTTCATTGGATAACAACCAATGATAGGAGTACTAGGTGTTCTTGTAGATAATCCATTTTCCATTGTATTTCAACAACCTGTTTAAAAACAATTTATTCTTGTACATGAAAAGCAATAACATAGTGTAAACCACTAAAGTTTGTTATTGGAAGTCAGTATATTTGGAACACATTTATCAGCTACCATATTTTTTGTAGATGATGTAAATACAAAAGAATGACTTCACCATTTACATTGAACTTTTCTGCATTCTCTTGGCTTGTGGTGAAATGATAACAATAAAAAAACTGCACAAACTTGTTTGGTTACCTAATATTTATGGTGACTATCATATCATATTAATAAATATTTACCAATAACACGTTCTCCTAAGCCACCTAATTCTAAGTATGCATTATTAAATGCATCCTTCATTTCTTCATCCAATTCTTTCTCCTCTCCATTAATAAATATTGTTGAAGATCTATCTAAAATTCGTTCAGGTGCTCCTTTCATACATAAAATATAACTAGGATCATCAGAATCTTCAGTTTCATGAATAGTTACCTATAAAAAATATATTTTAACAGTTCATGTACTGTAATATGAAACATGTTAATATAATAAGCAGTAGTGGACTGGTTCCCTAGAAAATTGGAAATTTCTTGAAGGGTCATTTGCAGGGTGGTCATTCCTTATTTTAATATATGTTACATTTCACTCAAGAAAAATAAATTAATAAACAAAATACAATCTTTGTCTACTGTATTAAATTTCAAAAGTCTTATTCTAATTCAGGTTGTAAGATGATGTGTGTTATCATCACTATTTCTCCCAATGCTTGTGTGGTATGGTTGCATCTAACTTTATATATATATAAAGAGTTTATACTTAAAATAAGTGTTATTAAAACTTTGTACATTCCTCTTTCATATCAGGTATGGTTTATTATTTTATACTGCAAGTAAGACAAATTATACATATTTATATTCTGAACACTGATATTTTTTGATACACTCTGTAATATAAATGTATATACAGTCGACCCCCCTATAACACGGTAGATACGTTCCGGTTTTTATGAATCCATTTTCTACGAGTCCAGCCAATCACAGCCCGGCACATATGCAGTTTACAAACTACAGATGTTTGAAAGGTTTCTTCCATAAAATTAATCGATTCTAGACTAATATGACTCAACATTTCCAAAATATGTATAATTTTTTGGGAATAATCCATATAAACTATGCTATAAACAAAAAATTGTAGGATTACTTACCGAGTGTGCACTGTTTGACTACGCCATTGCTTAAGCTTGTTTTCGTTGTGGAGCTTGTCATTGAATGGCGCTCGTGTGCTTCCTGATAAATTCTTTTTTTGAGAAAAATTCATCAAACTTTGGAGACATCATTAATATAAATATAATTTTTATAGACGTTAATAATAAATGGTTTTTAGTAGGTCTGCTGCTCGTTTAAACTCAATGGTTTGTGCAATATCTGCTATTGATCTAGATTCGACCAATCCTGTTGCAACACAAGTTGGCGATGACATTTTACCGAATTATAGGAGTTTTGTTAGCATGTTTGTACGAATACTGTCGCAATTTTTTCACCGTGATACAGAAATCCAAACTATAGGAGCCCGTGTTATAGGAGTGTCGACTGTATTACAATGTATGTGTATACATACATACATACATACATACATACATACATTTGGTATATTTTTCCAAGCAGAAATTTGTCACCAGTCCAATACTGACAGTAAGTTTACATAAATTACAATGAATGTAATCTTTTTTAATTTCTTTTTTATATTTTCATAAAAAATAACTTTTATTACAATACAATCAAATACAAAAAATTAGTTTTTATTTTAGCAAGCCTTAAAATTCTTATGCAAATAATCTTGTTGATTTGGTAACACACAAATATTGTCCATTATTTTGTTAAATCAAACTATACTATGATAACAAGTTTCTCAAAATAATTTGTGTGCATATATGTACTGTACATGTACATAAGTACATGTATACATATCCATATATATTCATGTGAATGCATCCTTTTCAAATAAGTATGACATAATATATGTCATACTTATTATTTGAAAAGGGTTCTGGAGAGTATAAAAAATGTTTAACATAGAGTAAACACCAGAAAAAAAATGAGTTGTAGAGAAAAGACAATTAAATTGATGCAATTTTATATGAATTATCTGATGCTAAATTATTGTAAAACAGTATTAATAATGAAATGTTGAAAACTTCAATAATTAACTAACAAATTTAATTAATCTCAATGAACTGACAGATCAAATCAGGTAGTCAAAAAATTTTACTTTAAGAAACATTTTAGGTCATAATCTGATCAACATCTGCTTACAAAAATAATTTATCTAAAATTAAGATTTTTTAAAATAAAAATTAAAAAAAATTTTTGAAATTTTTAATAATAGTCTACTTTTTTAAAAATAATAATTTTTAAAAACAGCTGAAAGTATTATAAATGCTTAATTAAGATTGTAATTAAGAAAAAAAAATATATTTTTTAAATGATCATTATGGTATGTTCTAAAATCTTAATTAAAGATTTAAGTATTATTTCTAAAATGAAAACAGTTTATTCTATATGGCCTCAATTGAATTTTTAATGCAAATGTTGTAAAGGAGGTATTATTTTAATTAAATAATATCTCTAGACATTCAATAATGATATTTCTTGACTCTTTTATTTCTAGATTTAAAGACAAAACTTAAACAGCAAAAATCTTTTTGATTTTTGATTAAGTTTATTATACAGGTGTCCCTCATACAAGACAGTACTTCTACAATGTAGTTTTACTCTAACATGGTTCAAGAATTTGAGAAATTCTCCATACAAAATTTCACAACTTTTAAGTACAAACACCATTATTTGATTTTTTTTCTTCAAGTAAGCATGCTGTCTCAAATTTGCCCACGGATTTTAGAATATTACAATTTTCAATTAGTTTTGATCCTTTTGTCAGGTTTACTTTAATGAAAACTGGTGGTGTTTGATAAGGAAGAAAATTTGTTTCTTCCTTATCCTAGCTTTTCTATCAACCAGGTGTCATCGTTGCTTTCAGACTTTAACCTTTAAGACTGTCACAGTGTTTTTTTTTTTTTTAATACATTAACTTTTCTAAATATGAAAATTATTTAAACAATTTTAGGTCAGTGTTATTAAACTCTTTTTTTAACCATAGATAAGTAATCATTCATAAAAATGAAATATGATGGTATCTTGGTACTTGAACTGTTCCCAAACTGAACAATTCAGTATGTGAGCACAAATTCTGGAAAATAATTGCAAATTGACAGAACAAATTTTCAATTAATAACATATTTTTACTTTTTATTTTGTCATATATAAAAAATTTTTATGGTCAAAAAAAATTAAGATGTTGCTGATATTTCTGATCAACAACAAAAAAACTCAGATGACAATACTCTGTAAAAAGAAAATGCCCTTGTTTAACTAAAATTAATATTAACACATAATACAGTACTTTTAATTGTAATTGTGAGTTAATTATTGATTGTTTTAATAAATATATTTCTCTTAGTAACGAAAAACAATAGTATACTTTTGTTAACTTTTAGTAATCAATAGGATGACTAACACGCCAAATTAATATATAATAACAAAAACAAATGCACTGAGCTCAGCGTTACATGCGTTTTCTTTATCGCTAGCACTTTCAACGAACTTATTGTCGTCGTCCTCAGGCGAATACAGATATTTACCAAAAAGCTTTTAAACAAAAATAATCGAATGCAGACTAGAACGCATAAGATAATTTGAAATTATGTTAAAGCCGTTAAGAACACGAAGTAAATATTTAAACATAATTCGAAAACCAAACAAGCAGACAGCTCCGTAAAGTGCAAGCTGGCGCATGCGCAGAGCCAAGCTCACGCTACATGCATACTAGAGACTGCTAATACTCGCTTAAACCCTTATACAGCGTGACCCATACACTAGGCAGCTCGAGCGTAGGGGTGTTGCAAGTGTCCAAGGTGACAGTGAGGAGAGATTCTCATATAAAAACAGTTTTTCGATCCTTGCAGCTCTTGAGCATAACCGCTTGGGACCATAGCAGGTTGTAACCCTGCTCAAGTACCTTCCTTGCGAGCTCGGTGGTGTTTCTTTCCCTCCTAACATTGTCTTGGTGCTCATCAAGGCGGCTGGAAAGCATTCTAGTGGTGTCCCCAATATATCTTGTGTTTACTCCCGTTGCCTGATTTTCCAAAGGTACAGCATAGACCCTCGATTTCTCAAGAATGAAAAATTTGTCTCTATCATTACAAATAAGTTTGCATAGGTTTGGAAGTGGGGTTAAAGGTAGTACAAGGTTGTGCTGCTTAAAGATTCTGCAGATGCGTAAAGATAGGGGTCCAAGGTAAGGCAACGTTATTTGTACCTTTGAAGATTCTCTCTTGCTGCATAAAGTAGTACTTGGAAACAGTGCTTTCTTTACCTTATTGAGCACATGCGTAAACTTTGCACGTGAAAAGCCAGCAGCACGTACCTCCAAATTGACGATATCTAACTCGACGTTTATCAGCTCCTGCGTGGATGACAGTAAATAAGCCCTTCTGACAAGGGAAGCAATGGCAGTATTAACGTATCAAGAAGGCTGAAAGGCCTCTGCTGGTGTGAAAGTTAAAGATGTACGAGACAAATCGTTCCAACGAATATCAATTAAACAATAATTTATTACAACAGGGATTAACAGGTAACACAGAGATGCCCGTCAGAGACAAATACACAGATATACAACAGGTCTCTACTCTCGTCCGGAATCTTACAAATTTTAATTATCACGATATAGGTTCTAATCACTAACTTATAATTAACTTACATCTAACTTAATCTAACACTATACTAATAAGAGGAAAAGGAAGGAAGGAAAGAAAAGGTCTACCGGTAGTTAGCACAGGAGGTCCTGATGGTGGTTTCCGATAATTGCGGGGGTTTTCTCGGCCGACTTTGGTATATTAAACATTCCTAGTATGAAATTTGGCACTTAGTTTCCGTAGACTACTATCTCTCATCAATCAAGTCACTAGTCCTCTTCTCTTCTCTTTGGACTACGCTAAACTTCGCACATTGGGCAGGTTCTTTGTCTTAAGCCTGACTTAATGTCCCGACGATATTTTCTTAACCCTTTCTCCTCGTCGTCCAGGCAAAAAGTGTCCTTCTTACCCCTTTGTTCACCTTGTGTACCCCACGGGCAGGGCCGCGCCCTGTTCACGTCGGTAAGCCACCAATCAGGACCCACGAAATTCCCGCTCCTGATCGGGTGACCGGAAATGGTCATTAGTAGAAAGAAGAAGGAAGGAAAAGAACAAAGAATCTTAAATCTAAATACTATAACTATGTATATACAAAATGGCGGACAGCCACACATGCCCTCATCAGGGGAGCTCAAACTCCACAGTGGAGTTTGTGATAGTCCACTCTCCTCCCTCTGAGGTTGTATCTGCCTTGATATGAGTCCTGTAGTTGATCACTTGGCGTTGTCCTGGCTTCCTGATG